AGCCATGTATTTTAAATACACTTGTTTTTGAGGAGCTGATGCCAGGAAACTGTGCTCCACAAATCACAGCAGAGAGCCATTACTCCCCATAGCAAGCCTGCTGGACTGTGCCCTTGTATAACCCTTGTCAGGCACAGAGTATATTTTAAGTGCTCTCATATAACAATGATTGTTGATAATGATAAATAATATAAATTGCATCACTTCTGCAAAAAGGATCAGCTTGCCCCAACTTTTTAACCTCAGCACTACTAAACTTCTCTTTTTTTTTTTCTTGCATAGTATAGGAATACTTATTGAGAAATATATATGAATGTAAAAATTGTAATTTTCACAAATATTTTTAGCAGATAACTCGCCTCATGAAGGATGGAAATCTGATTTATTTCCACTCAAAATACTTCTAAAATAATTTTGCTTGTGAAGAAGCAATGCTTTTACATATTTCCTAACTACTTTTTCATTCAATTTACTGCAATCAATTTATATAGCAATGGTTGGACTTGATGGTATATTAAAAATTTAACATACAAGAAAGGATTCATAACCATCATCCTCCAGAGAATGTTTTTTAATCGTCTTCAGAACACTGAAAATGTTTGAATTACATCCTGTATTTCTATTAGTACCAGCCTGATTGTATTTACCATCAAAAAAGATTACTGTAACAATATTTATTACAATGCTGCCCACAGACCATAAAATAATTTTGGTCAGCAATTACCTTTAAGATCATTGAGTCCAACTGTTAAGCCAGCACTACCAAGCCCACCACTAAACCACGTCCCTAAATGCCACACCCCCACATCTTTGAAATACCTCCAGGGATGGTGACTCCACCCGGCAACCCTTTTGGTGAAGAAATTTTTCCTAATATGCAATCTAATAATTTTCTGACACAACCTGAGGCCATTTTCTCTTGTCCTTGTTGCTTGGGAGGAGAGAGCCTGTCCAGTTCACTCTGCAGAGCCTCCCTACCCTCCAGCAGATCAATACTCCTGCCCCGCTTGGTGCTGTCTGCGGATTGCGGGGGCAGTCGATCCCCTCATCATTTCTCATTTAAAGATGTACTCTGGAGCCCATGAAAAGTGAAAGGAGGTCAGTCCAACTGTGCTGCCTCGACTGAAGGTGTGTTATTGATTACTAACAGCTGCACTGGTTATCATTGCTGAGAATTGCTGGCCACAAAACCTTCCATATGAAAAATATGGAACAACTCTCCTTCCCCCTCTCTCCTTGCCAACAGAAAGAAGCTGAATTATGACTCAGGGAGCACAGAATACCTGTGAATGCTGAAGCAGAGATCACTAGCATCTGATGCTCTGCCTCCAAGTTTATTCTTTGGAAAACTGATAGAGGGAGATGGAAGAGGCAAATAAATGACTGAGAGGGAAAAGGGCAAGAAATGAACTGAAGAATAGGGAGCAATCCCCTATCCTGACTGGATACAGTCAGCTGATAGCCCAGAGAGACAGGTACAGAAAAATGTCCATATATAGAGAGTGACCTTCCTTTATCATGAGAAGAATTGTTGTTTTTATGGACACAGCTCTGAGCTGTTTACTCACACAGCTCAGATAAGCACTAAGAGCTTTCTACAGACTGATGGGCTACACGGGGTTATCAGCCCCTAAGGTAAGTAAAATCTAAGTACCTGTTGCTAAGAAGTGTCTGCATGGTTCGTTTTTCTTTTCCCAGAATAAAACACGTTTGCCTTCCCTTTATATTAATTTCACAGACTTTCTTACACAGTGAATCTTACCTTTAAAAAGCCTGACATGGACCAGCTGGAACAGGTTGCATAGGCCAACATTACAAAATACTGAATAAAGAACTAAATCAAGCAGATCAAGAAGTACCATGGTTAGAAAAATGCAACTGCTGAAACTTTGCTAGATGCAAAACTCTCTAGAAAAGACAAAGAAAACTGCAGAATATGTCTACAGCATTTTATTCAAACTCTAAAGATGGATGACAGTAAAATGTCAATGTTTCATGCTGAATTTGCACCTTTTCATCAGCTAATTCTGGTTAATGGCACTGCTGTACATGACAGTCATCCCCATGAGCAGCGTGTTGCACACTATATCCTTCAGCATATGGATTAATGCAAGTTTCCGGCTGAGGAAGCCGAGCTGATTTTAAATGTAACATTCAACAGTGCAGTTCAGGATCATTCAACAGGGATGAAAATCTGCAGAGAAATTTATTCACTGTTGACCATGTTGTACATGTTTAGGTGGACAAAAAGGATGAGCCCAGAGAGCAAAGACAGGAAGGGATCCTGTACTCACCAGTTTGCGGACTTCATTCCATCTACTGAACTTTTCTAAGGAACTCAGCTTCTCACCATCCTCTAACATTTCACAGGTAGGAAACCAGGCACTAACCACCACAGCAACTGTATCTCTCAGCCATACAGTTTCCTGTAGGTGAAACTTCTTGAATTAACATTTTATAAAGTGGGTGTCTCATTCACAACTTGTCATAGTTCTGGAAAAAAATTTCCTTTTAAGCTTCATAGATGGTTTGAAGTTCTGGTGCCTGCTAACTTGCAATTTATTTTATTTTTTTTCCTTCTAGTTTCCAGTCCTGAGGAAGCTGTCAGTGTCTCTGACATGTGTCTTATGCACTACTTATAGACATTTTGATAATTTCCAGTCAGCCATACAGCTGATAAAATTAGACATGTAATTAAGACTAGGTTACTTCAATCACTTTCAAATATTTTCTTTAAATAACATTTTAACATTTTCTCTCCATTAACAAGACATTATATGGTTTGAGTACAATAGATAGAGAAATCATTATTAGTGCATGTGCATAGAAGCTGTTTGGATATAGCATATATAAGCAGTTTGTGGAATTCAGTGACTTCAATCACTTCACAAATGGAAAAAGGATGACACATTAGATAAGAATCCTATACCTATCCGGAATTTGCAAGACATTAGAATGAACAATATTTTTCACTGGTCTGTGCAAAGGATTGCACTGTAACTGAAGCTTTTGAAGTGAAGTGGTTGGAGGCTATAGTAGAGCACCTAAAAACAGTGACTGTACATTCTTCTGAAAGATTAATTTTATTTTTTCTAACAATCCTCAGTAAGGAAATGGTAGATAAAGACATGAATTATGTAAGTGTATACAATTTTTAAAGGTTTTTCATATAATAAAACTGAACCCCTTGGCATTTTCAAGTTTCTGGACTAAGTCACAACTCAGTTACAAGAAACAAGCCAAACCCAAATTTTCCTGAGTGACATGTGCTGGAGTTTTACTAACACTCATTTAAATGTTACAAATACATCTTAGCATATATAGTATACACACTGCATAGACAGGTATTTTCTTTTTATTCTTCAGATGAAATTCATCTTGTAAAATATTACTGGATGAACTAAATTTCTGCTTACTTCCGGAATCATAAAATGGTATAGCTTAGAAGGATCTTTGGGGGTAATCCACTCCTACTCTCAACTCAATATAGGACTGACTTCAAAGTTGTCTTTTAATTCTTCATGATCAGCCCCAATGTCTTTCTTCCCTAAGATACTAATAAACCAAGAGTAATCAAGAACTATTCATAGAAAGTTCAAATATGTATTATTTTGCATTTGTCAACAGTGAATTTGACCAACTGTAGAGTTATCCATTCAACAACCTCATGAGCTCTGGAGCTTATTATTGTTATGAGTAATACCTGCTAGAGAATTAAAAATTAAAGCTGCTGTTCCTTAGAACAGCTCATCAGGTGGATCAGCTGGGGTATGAAAATAATAGTTTTAATGAGATCCTCCCACCATGTAAAGAGAATCCTGGCTGAATATGCAGTATGGATTTTAAAAAGTATGGATTTTAAAAAGTAAAAACATGCATAGTAAATGACAGCATGACAAGTCTTGGCCTAACACAGGAAACAAATGCAAAGACAAATGCAAAGGAATTGCAACTTTGCCTGTAGTGCAGAATTCCTCCTGTTAGGAAATAAACATAGCTGAGAGAAAGACTGCTGCTAACAACCCTCAGAAAAAATGCATGAGGAGAGGAAAGGGGAAGTAAATAAATGTAAAAAAAATGATGATTTGGATTTGGAGGCTGATTGAATGCAAGGTCACCTAAACCAGGAAGAGGTTATTTGAGATACTGTCAAGCAAGGAACAGAGATGTATTGGTGCTTTTTTCAGAGGAGCAGATTAAAACAATAACAGATTCCATGAGTTTCAGGGGTGACTGCTGTATATTGAAAAATAACAAAAAAAAAACAAAACAAAAAAACCAACCAAAAAACCCCAAAAAACCCCAGCTTCCTAAAACAACACTAAAAGGCTATTTTTGTCCAAAAGTGCTTGTACTTAATAGACATACCTCAGTAGAGATGTGTGAAATAAAAAACCATGATACTTCCATAAAGATGTCTTTTAGTGCAGATACAAGCTTCATTAGGGCAAATTTTGATATAAATGGCAACTCCAAGGTCGTAAGGCTAAGGCTGATACACATGGAAGAAAAATACCTGCTGTAGCAGCTGCCAGGATTTTTGGGGTGGAGGTCAGAGGGGTCAGAAGAGAAAGTGAGATGGTAAAAGCTATCTTTGTTTATCCATTAAAACTGCATGTCCTTCAGAACAAGAAAAAAATTGGATATTAAAATAGCAGGAAGAAAATCAGGAAATTCCTGAAATAAAGAATTAAGTTCTAAAATACCATAACTCACAGGCTTCCAAGACTTTCCATAAAAGTGGATGTTTGTCATTCCTTTAAAATGCTAATTCCAGAGAAAACTGTGAGAATAAATGCCACATTACAGATTTGTTCAGCCTTCGTTTGTTGCTTGATATCTTAAACTGTGAGGTTACAGATCTAAATGTTACAACAAAAAAAGTCCTAAGCCAAGTCAAAGTCTTTTAAACCTAATTAATGTCATAGTTTTCTAAGCAATTGAAGATTTCTTTGCTAAATAAGGTTGATAAGCTTGCAGCAGAAATTCCTTCCACTCACCATCTCCCAAGATACCATAAGACATCTTTGTATCAAGAGTGCTTTGTGCTGCAGTTGCTCCATTAAATGCATACTTAAACAACAAATAATCCCTCTCAGAAGTTCAATAGGTACTTGATGACAAGTGCTGTCTTCAATTACATCATTAACTCAAAAGACACTTGTCAGTAAAAGACTAACCAGAGTTTCCTCTTGTATGTGTATGCGTGCACACATGTGTACCTGTGTTTGTGGGTCTTTCAAAAAAATCAGAGGATATTTGATGCTGTTTTTATTGCATGTTTAATGACAAAAGTTAACACAAACGAGCATGAGCTTCTAAATCCCTTTCTGGAGGTTATTGCTGTACTGCAGAAGGTCATTACAGGTATAAAAACTTGGCATATATTCCTTGTAAAACTCACAGTCAGTTACTTCTATCAAGCACCATTTCAGTTGTTAGTCTATGGGTTATAATGTGCCTTGATGGCTTCGAGGAAATTCAGTCATTTTGGGTTAACAGCTTCATGTGCTGCCACCCAAACTGCAGAATGTTCTTCAGTACATTTTTGGGGATAATAGTAATAATCCCTATATGAGACCGTGCCTTTAATATTTAAACTAGATAGTAATAAAATCAATACAAATAAAACATGTTAAAATAAATAAATCAAAGAAATTAAATGGGCTCAAGGAGTTAGAGAATTATTAACCTAGCAGTACTTACAAGAAGCTTTTTCCTGCTGACTTATAGTTTTCCTGTAGCTGCTGCTAATTCAGTGTTAGCCTGAGCCAGCACACAACATTTTGGTTCTCTCTCACAATACACCTTGAAAAAGACATAGTGCATTGGTACATTACAGAGGAAATTCGTCTCACTTTATTACAAAAATTACAAATTACTCCTGATGAAAGACTTATGATTATCCTAGTTGTCCTTCATTACAAATCTTTGCTTTAGACCCATCTTTCTACACAACAGTGAGTCAGGCAAAGATTTCTCTCATTACCAACTACAGCAGATTTTATGATAGACTATAGAAGGATATCTTAAGCAGAACTGAATGCAATCGTAGTGGGTCCACTTTCCTACTAGAATTAATTTATATGTATCACTATCATGATTTTAGAATACAGCTGGAAATCAGACAGGCACTACACTTGGGTAGATTTCATCTACAATTGATAAGTTTTTTACTATTCTGTAACTAAATGATCATGCTATAATGCTAGGATGAATGGAGCAATCTTGCTGCCAGGTGCTCCAGGGAATCACAAGTGATAAGCCCTGTCTTATACTCCAGACAGCCAGACCCACGATGGATGTTTCAAGTGAAACGTGTACATCTGGAGAACATTTCCCAACTGTTGCATTATAATGACAATTGAAAAGCCCTGGACAGCTACATCTTTTTTACCTCTTCCTACTAAGAATAAATACATGCCAAATACTGAATACTTACCACTTTATCTCTGGTGGTTTATACATGCCCCCTAGAACACTGAGCTGAGCCTACTAAAATAATTAAAAATTCATTAACTGAAATTCCCCCATCAGGGCCAGTCCAAGAACTGATATATACATACTTCACTGAATTTTACTATATTGATGGCCCAGGCACAGAGACCAGCTGCTGCAAAGGATTTTGTAGGAACATAATTTGGGTTGAAGTCTGGATCCTTCAAGTAATGTTTCTTGGCGACCTTCAGACAGTTCTGAGAAATATGCTCCTTATCATGGTCGATTATATCTCACAAAGAGTCATCAGCATGTGAGAAGTTCCTGTGTATATAATGTTCAATTTTTTGAGAAGAAAAAGCTAAATCCTACTTTCATCTCAAAGGTAAAACTGGATTCCTGCACTAGCTAATTGGTTTAGAAATGTTATTCAGTAAAGAGCAAAAATATTTCCCCCAAAACACAGAAGTATTCACTGTCACAAGCACTATTTGTGATTTATGTCTTGCTTGAGATATTAGGGGAAGATAGGATAAATATAATGAAATGCTCTCCCTTTCATTTTCTCCTGGTTCTGCATTCAATAAATCCCAGTGGTGCTCAGGCTGGCTTGAGTTTGTCACCAAAGGTACACAGAAAAGAGAGATGCAGGGTTATATCTTCTCCCCCTAAATTCAAGCTGTAAGAAAACGAAGTTACGGTTTTCTTTCTTTTTCTCTGACTCCCTTTTTAACTATTCTTTTCTTCTTTCATCTCAGATATTATCTGATGTCCCTTTGATAATCACCTTTGTGGCTTTCCCAGGTTCCATCCTTGGGCCCTTTCCCTTTATATGGCAGGATGTTGGTTTTGGCTGGGGTAAAGTTAATTTTCTTCATGATGCCTGATATGGGGCTGTGTTTTGGATTTGTGCTGAGCACAGGGTTGATAACACAGAGATGTTTTTGTTATTCCTAGCAGGGCTTACACAGAGCCAAGGTCTCTTCTGGTTTTTGGACTGCTGTGCTGGTGAGGCTGGGGCTGCATGAGAGGCTGTGAGGAGACACAGCCAGAAGAGTTTCATGGCAGTGACACAGACAGTGGGATCAAGCTCACCGTCAGCAAATCGGCAGATGGTACCAAAGTGAGCAGTGTGACTGACATGCCTGGGGTTGGGGTGTTATCTCATAATGCAGGACAGGAGAGCAGGAAAGGTGTTTGTACAAAAAAGCTGGGGGATATTAGGGCACTCTGTTACTGCTGAGGAGTTGCTGAACACAGGGAGGAACTCTGCAGCCTATGCCATTGCCGGAGGTAAGCTGCCAGCCTTTCATGATCTGGGTTCAAATGCAAATGCTGGAGCTAAACAAGACTTTTTGCTAAGATTTTGAGACCCATGAACTTTTTTACCCTCACTCCCCCTTCTTCCCCTTCAAAGGGCTTTCTTTCAGATAATTAGAAGAAATACCAAGAAGGCAGTGACTGGTAGTTTTGCACTGGAGCTTTCCCTAAATAGTAAAATATTCACTCCAGTTTTGATGTATAGGAAAACATATAAAATTTGTCAAACCAGCCTCTGTCATTTGCCAAATTTGTCTTCTTTTTATTCCTCAAGTCTGAAATCACAGGTCAAAACAAGGGAGGGAATGGGAGAAATGGAAATATACTGTATGAAAACACTGTACTTACTTAATTTCAGGTTTGGAAATTAAACAATCATCAGTTCAAACAGCTTTGTCAAGTCACTTATTTTGGCTTAACAGTGGCTTAGATCAGTGACTTTACATCAGTTAGCATCAATCCTACATGCAATCTGACTGCCTCCACAACTTTCTGCAACAATTTAATTGTCTGTTTAAAAGCAGATTATTATTTCATTGGTGGAAATTTATCTGGGAGAGTAAACCTGGGGGGCATTCTGTATCATCAGCAATTGTGTATTTGGCAGATTACCATACATTCTTTTAAAGATACATTGCTTGAGGCTGAAGTCAGTTATACTTGGTTCATCCTTATCCTTGTACCTCATGCTCATCTCACCGGCTCATTTCCTGTCAGGTCTTGCTTAAGCCTAGTTTAATTACAGAGAAAGAAGATATTACACTGATCAAGATGTTAATACTTGGATCAAGCACCCTGCATTGGCAGTAAAAAGCCTCTGTAAGAATTTAATATCCTTACAAAACCTGTTTCTACAATTGTCTGGGATATTTTCCATGTACACATTTATTAGATAGGACACACACAGCTGCTGTCTGTGGAAATAACAAATATTAAAAATCAATATGCATTAAATTACAAATAACAAGTTACTAATCAAGTTAAATATGTCCTTCATCTCCTGTGATGTAGCTTTTTGATTTGTTCCTAATCCTCAGCTAGTGTCACTGTCACACATATCACACCATGATCCGCACGTTTTCTGTCTTTGAAGGGGTAGGTCCTGTTTTAAAAGGCAATGGCATATGCACCTTCACATGTAAGCTGCTCTGTCTGACAACATTCAGTGCACAATAAAGGCCAGTAAAATTACAGCACTGTTACTGTCCACTATTTTAAAACCCTACCAGTGTCATGCTCATGGTAGAACCCTTGTTTATTATTGTACAGTTGTGTAGCCCTACCACAGTCATGCAGAATCCTGACTGACCTAATAAGTCTGATCTCAAGTGATTTCCATTTTTCACCTATTCTTTCTTAAGTAATACTTCACTCCAAGCCAATACCTCCAAGGTATTTACTTGCTTAAGGCTGTAAAACTCAAAAAGCTCTTGTAAACTCCAATTTGAAATCTATAGAACAGGAAAGCAAAAATAATTGTTTAAAGGGTGACATATTTTGATCAATTAGGAAGAGTCTTCACAAATTACTTAGCTAAGATGTATTCTCATTTGCTGAGCTTTTTTTGGTAACAAAAAAATGAGAGAAGATTAGTGTTTAGAAGCTATTGTTAGCCTTATGAAACAGTTTCAGATTAATGTAGCACAAAATGACACTTTCATTTCCAATGAAAACATTTCAGAAGTGCAATAAAGCAATGAACAGTGGAGTACAGTAATCATTAGTGTCAGGCACTGAACTTCATCCTTGAAACAAAGTGGCCCAAAGATGTGATTATCTCACAATAATCACTCTATGTGTTTCACCTAGCTGCTTAATGAAGTAATTAAAATTGTGTTAAGGGTGTATTTTGAACATCCAAATTTATCAGAAGCATATGGAACCAATACAGGAAAAGCATCACTGAAAAGTGTTTGGTAGACTGTTGAACCGTTGGATCCCATTTGTACAAGTTTAATTAATTGCACTATTTGGACTTGAAACTTCATAGCCATTTTTAAGTCCTATGTGAGATAAGGATCAGCAAAAGGCTGAAGTCTGTAGTTAGCATAATCCAGAGAAATATAAAGGTCCTGATCACGTCTTCATCTATCTCAGTATCAAAAATAATTTTTCTCTTAATAAAATTAGGACTAGACACAAGATTTTTGGAAAGGTATTAAATATCATCTAGTCGTAAGTATTTAAAAAATAATACAGAAGAAAATGAGAGACCATTTTTGAATGTTTAGACAGGACAGTCTTCCCTGCTGGTCAGTATCTGGAAACTACAAAATCCTAGGAAGCTTGAAGTCTCTATATCTCAAAATGAGGCATTTACATATATTACAAGTCAATTAAGATCTTCTCTCTGCACTATTGGATGATTACACAACGTACATGAGATTTTGTAGCAAAATGCCAGACTTGAATGGGCCTTCCAGACTTTAAAGGCAGAGGAACTTCACTTTACAGCACTCCACACTGCTGGTACTTTATTTCAAAAGCCGTGCTTGCAACTGTAGATGGAAATTTTAGACTCCTGATGAAATTATACATTTCATTCTGTGGTGAGCAGTAAAGCATGTGAGCTTCTGCATTTCAGACACAGATGTTGATAACTAATGCTAACAGACTAAACTGAGAGCAAAAAGAAGGAGAGTCAATGCTGAAGATATATATTATCAGGAATGCTATTATAATCTTAAGATTCAAGGTTTGTACTTTGTAAAATGGTGGAATGAACTTTTGTATCAATTGAGTTGTTCAATTTACCTAGAGTCTCAAAGCCTTTAGAAATGTGAAGTGCTAAGAGATGACTCTTTGACCTTTCCTGTATTACAAATAGGTCTGATTCTCAAGATCCACATCCATTAAATGCTTGAATGAGCTCAGTATTTATTGTTCTTTCATCTCATTAAAACAGCTAAAAGGTTAGGAAAAGGCATAATGTAAAGAAAGGTCAAGTGGTAATCATGGTGTGAAATGCTGTTACACGTGTAAGTATAATAATTCTTTAGATTTTATCCTCCCTGGAGAGGAAGTTGTTCAAAACTGTTCACCTAAGAAGGTTTATTTTGTGCTAAATATAGCTCAACATCAGTAAACAGGAGAATTAGACTGACCTTTAGCTCGTCTGCATCTGCAATGGCCTTTTCTTGGCTCAGTTTCTCAGTCTGAAACCCTATCATGGCAATCAAAGCTTCAGTATCTCGATTTCTCAGTTGCAGTGCTTCCTCCTGAGTAGCAAGTTTGGATTTTAGATCTTCTACCTACAGGGCAAAAGGTAATGCATTATTCAGGTCATTAGGCATGGTTCTGAAACCCAAAAGCTGAACTGAAACCAAAATTCATGTTTTGTGTGTCTCTAACAAGAAGCATTGTCTTTTCATTTTTTAGCCTTTTTTCTGTTTGTACCTGACATAATTTTGTTGACATAAATAATTTACTAATGACAGCCTAAGTGCACTCACCACAGACCCCACAGCTCACCTGAGATGCTCAGATGTCTGTCCTGCTGCTGAGGTTGGGGCTGCAATCAGGTGTCTCAGTGGGGAAAAAGAAGGGCAGCTGCTGCACGCAGCAAAGGCTCCAACCTAAAGGCAGAAGGATGTTATGAAAAATGCTTGGTATTCACTCTGAGCAGATAATTCCAGCAGAGCTTTGCTGTAAGGTTAAGGCACTCGCAGAGATTGATGAACAAAAACTACCCGCTAGATTGCTGAAATAGCAATTTATTGCCTACCAGTTGAGAAACTCATATAAAAATATCCAGCAACAATATCTTTTCACATGTAAAGGAATTGTTTCAAATAACTCTGAGTTTGGCAGGGTTTGGGTTTTTTTTGTTGTTCTGCTAACCTACCAATCATTTTGTCTGGCAGCTAATCAAGATATATTTTAACCAGAGGGACCTTGTTAATGTGATCTGGATAGGGCTGATAAGACAAAGTGGAAGACAAATATTAGAGGGCTTAAATTTTAATCACATGGAAGGTCTTGAGAGCTCTCCTGATTTGGTGGGCTCCTGAAATCTTACAAAACCTACAGAATTCACCTTTTCAAAATTTGACCATTTGATCTGACAAAGCTGTAATACTGAGTTTTAACAGATGACTACAGAGATCCTAAATCTCTCCACTCACTTTATTTTTCAGTTTGCTTGAGCTAACTTCATATCTTTTTCTTTAAGAAAATATTAAACAGTGTTTCATTTGATATTCTTCTGTAAAGCTCCAGAGTACAGGGTGAAAATGGCTTGATGTTCAAGTGTCTGGCTAGACAGTGCCTGGAGCTGGAGGTCTGTCAGCCAGCAAAGCAGGCAGCATATGAAATTGTCCAATTACCATTTGGTCCTCATCAAATTAAAAATCAGAGAAAAAGAGCATTTTAATAATTTACTAGCAGAAATAGGAAAAAACCAGACTTTAAAACCTTGGCCACTCTTGTCTGTTGACCATTTTTTTGGAAGGTCTTCAGCTGACAAAGTGGGAGTAAACCAGCCAGCTCCCATTATTAACCTGATGCAGCAGCATCAAGATGCAATGTTATGCAAAGGCTGCAGCTGAGCATTTGATTTGCATAAAAGCACACAGAAATTTATTTTTTAATAAAGAAATCACTGGATTATGGTATGTCTTCAGCATTTGCAAAGGGGATTAGGGAACATGTGTGGGTGGGATGGGGTAAAGGCTTCCAAGCAGTTTCCTCTCCTTTCTGTCTTTGTGGGCTGAGCAACCACCAAAGCACAGCAAGCAGAAGCACTGACTGGGGGCTGTGGCACCAGCCTCACGAGCAGGTGACAACACCTCATGGAGAGGCTTCACCCATGTTCCTCCTGCTTTCATTACCCCTCAGCTGGTCACTGGCCGTGCACAACATCCACACATATGGAGCTGCCTTTTCTCTGTCCCTGGGTTCAGCTTTTACTGTGGCACTTGTTCCCTTCCCACCATTTCACAGCAGCCTCACTGCACTCCTCCTCCCTCCAGACTTTGTCCTTGTTTAAATGGATTGTCTCCTCTTTCCAAAGGCAGCTAAATAACTCAAAGAGCTTCTATAAAAAAAAAAAACAAACCAACAAAAAAACCCAACAGAACCAAACCAAAATAAAAAAAACCCAACAAAACCAACTGAACAGAAAAACCCCAACCAAGCAAAAAACCTCCCAACAAACCAAAAAAAACCATGCCAGTTTCAAAAATCAGGTAGTTTCAATGAAACACAAAAATGCCACTCTGCAACTCATCAGTGTAATGTAAAGGTGATGATGATTTGCAATAAAACAAAGATAATTTATAAAGAATGAAAAAAAAGGTTGTGACTTCCATAGTTTACCTGGAAATCTGCTGCCTTCCTCATTTCTGAAGAGAGCTTCTGCACGCCATTTACCAAGTGCTCCATGTGTCATGACAGCCTCTTGCTTTTTTTGTCTAGGAGGATATTATAAAGCATTATTTGCTCCAGAAAACTATTTGGAGTGGTGTAATTGTACTGCCTCTTGTTATGATTGTACTTGGCACTCAGGACACTCACGCTGGTGTGGGCAGAAGCCATGAAATCAGCATAAACCATGGAGTCCTGCATGAGTGGCTGTACATACCCAAGGAAATGGAACAAATGGAAACACAAGAACAAAGAAATCCTTCCAAAATTCATTGTATCTGTGTAACTTAAGCACATCCATATATGTTTCTAAGGATGACTCATTCACAAAACTATTCAGTCTGCACTAAATATAATGTTGTCAGCATGAAAAAAAACATTAAAGAAAAATGAGCCTTCCCCAACTGTTTTGCACATAAATTAATTAATTTTGCACTGGCATTCATCAAGTCTTCATTACTACAGAAGCTCAGTGCTTCAACATACTTTATTATTTCTTAATAAACACTCCTAGAAACTAGGAACAGAGATTAAACTAGTTCACGATACTGCTACATGCAGAGTTTATATTCCATGGATTTTCTACTTCACTTCTGGAACTTCTGTTGAAGAGAAATCCTCTCTAGGTTACAGAAATACAGTAGAGTCGTTGTTCTAATCACACTGGTCCTCACACACTTCATACATCATCAAATTTCTGTTTGGAGTTAAGTGCTTTCTTGCCATCAATTTCAGTTTGAACAGAACTGGACACCACAATTTAGATTTCCAAAGTTGTACCATCCCTGCTTATCTGTGCTTCTAAAAGATAGACTAAAAAAATGTAATGAGGGCACGATTTAGACCACTGTGGAGTGCTCCCTAAAGCTGAGCCTCTAGGTGTCATAAAATGTCAGAAAATCAGCAACATTTCTGAGCTAAAATTACCTTCTCTCAGCTTCAAGGGGTATTAACCAGAAAAGCAGCTATGACTTCATGGAGTTCAGACCCACTCCAGGCTGTGACAGTGGAGGGAGGCTCTCCCCTGTGTGCAGCCAGACATCAAACCACCAACCGTAACTCCAGCTGCAAGCAAACCTCAGCACACCGCAGAGGGGACGCCAGAGCACTACTGTGGCCCTGTGCTGGGTCCCACACAGCACCACCTGGGGTTCCTCTCTCATCACAGAGACCAGAATGCAGCTGGAGACTGGAAATTTCTCCTCACATACTACATAAAAATCAAAACAGGCCAGGCACATTTAAAACAGCTAGCAGATGGTCATTAAGTCATGTGTTTCTGAGAAAAATGCAGAGATAAAACGCCTGTCTTTATTCACCTCCGACAGCAAGAAGAGGGGGTCAGGATGGAAGTTTGAAGGTCCTTTTTCTAAATTTGGTGAAAACTAAACTAGCAAATACAAGATACCACTACAGTCCTTTGAATTAGAGTATACTTTCCCAGCATAAACAAGAACTAGGAAATCCCCAGAATTAATTTTTGTTTGTTTTAAAGGACTCTATCTACATATATTAATAGAATAAATTCATATACATGTCTAAGCAACAGTACTGTATGCAAAATTAAAAGAGAAATACTAAGAAAACCCATTTAACTCCATCACTGTAACTAACTTTCATTTTGTCCTCTATGACTTCTAGCACACTTAAACTTTATCATTTGTGGAGTCACATCTCCCTCATTTTAATGATTATTTATTGCATTCTGTACAAGACGAACCCAGTTCAATTAATCAAGGGAAGTCTAAAAATCAATTAATATGAATTAAATGAGCTACACCAACTCTTAGGAAAGTCACACATAATTTACCAAAGCATTGTCAATAATGCTTAGGGAACTTTGGGAAAATTGCTCATGAGTGGCTGTTGATGCAGTCAAATGTTTTAAGCCTACATCATTAATATTACAATCAGGTTGATGCAGAAAGGCTTTCCATTTTTCTCAGTAAGAAAACTCATTATTTTCTTGTGCCTTTTCAGAGCTAGTTTAGAAGAATACTTATTTCACCTACAATCAGAAAAACAGAAATTAAAGCAAGAACTAAATAAACAAAGATTTGCGTTGGGGAAAAGCAGAGGCAAATTGCTTTACAAATAGGAAAAACCAGAACATCATTAGTGGAAGCAAAGCAGCATAAATTCATCTTTTAAAAAACTGCTTGTAAAAGCAAGGCAAGTCAGCAGGAATAGACATTTTATGCAGATTTGAGAAGCATTTAGCTTCCAACCGAAATGCGTTTCAGCCCTTTTCTCCTTTTTTTCATTGTTTGTGACACACACGCACCCTGCAGCACAGCTCTTCCCGGTGAAAGACAACCTCCTCACACATGATCCTTATGAGAGGGCTCTACTCAGCAGCCCTGAAAAGCCCTCTAACAACAGTTTCATTTGGGAATCAGTGAGGGACGGAGCGGGTTCCGCTGGAGCTGGAAGTGGCCCGAGACAACTTGTCTCAATGGGGCAAAATAACTATTGTTATGGAGCTTAACAAAATGGCACAGCATGGGAGACACGCCGAGCCAGAGAGCAGCTGGTTGTAATTCACACTGGTTTTCAGAAAACACTAATCGTTCCCCAACAGACCTCTTTGAGGATTGGTCTTCCCTGCATTTTCAATTTGTCACTTTCTCTTATGATAAGGTCAGCGGTGACAGCACTTCCTGACATTAACAGCTGTGGCTTTTAGAAGGGTCATTGTGGAACTACTAATTGCAGTAATTTCATTAGCATAAATTATTTATTCTGCCATTCATTTATCTCCAGGATTTTTTTTTTTTTAATACTACATTGTACTTTTCAATATATGGCCATTCAAGGTTGTAGGCAAAGGAAATTATTATTGCTAATTTAGCCTTCTTTATGGGGGAAAAAAAAAAAAACAAGCAAAAAAGAGTTGACACAGTTACAAAATCTGATTTAACAGCAGTTTGCTAGAAAACATAAAGTAGCTTGAAGTCAACAATGAAGATTAGGCTGGTACAATTCAAAACCATTCATTAGTGCTAAAGACAACTGAGCATTAAACTTATATATATTTTGAAAGAAAATACGAGGATGAATTAGGTTCATTCTTACACAATCTCTTTACTCCAGGCCTTGGCTGATTGACTTTAAACATTAAAAAAACCCAAAAATCCCAAGGCAAGTTATGAGTAGTTTATGCAGGAATTTTACCTGCATCCTCCCTCTATCTTTTCTCAGGATGTGAAATAGTCATTACTATCAAATACATAAATCTTAACTCTTTGCAGTTAGATTGAGCTAGCTGAAACATGCCAAGCAAAGAACAAAAAAGACCAATATCACTGAAAATTAACACACGTGGCAGGCAATTATCAAAACTGAGAAAAAAAGCCAAGTCAGTGTTTGCTAGAAGGAAAAGGTAACTGGGAAGCTTGAGTGGGTGGACAGGGAGGAGTTTAAGAGGCAAGGAAAGAAAGCAAAATATTACTCCAGGTGACTTCTTTGCCACACTGAACATTGTAAAACACCTTGGAGTTCGATGAACTAAGAGCATAATGAATTTTTCCTTGATATGCTTAACAGTGTGTGCTGTTTGGTGCTAAGCAGCGGAAAAGCAGCATAAAAGACAGTATGAGAGTAGACAAGAAAATACTCAAAGATCATAGAGATGTACAGGGTTGCTGTTTTCAAAGAAGTGAATTAAAGAATACTGATCTTTTTATTCTGCACCGAGTGGTATGTGACACCAGATGAAAGTAAGAAAAGGGGGGTGTCTGTCATGCTGGATTTGGACACAGATTATTTTAAAATACTGTAGATCGTGTCTTACATCAAATGAGGTATAAAAGCACCTTTGTAAGTTCATGAAGTTCAGTACATGGATTTCAGAACTGCTACATCCTGCTCTTTTCTTGTGCTCTTTTAAAATGAGGTTTAGCAATTTCCGTACTGAAACAGAAGAGGGCTCTTTTCCTCTCCTCTCTCCCAAGAAATCAAAGACATCAGAATTGATTAAATTTTTGATGCTTTCCATTTCCCTTCAAATAGCTTTGAACTCCCTGTTTCTTGTCCTTAACCCACACATTGGCCAATGTCCTTCCAGGTGAAAAGTGTCTTGCAATGCCTGCTTCCAACAGGCAGCACGATTCGGGAGGATCACTGCTCTCTCTGTTCAGATGCTTTCACACAGGGTGAAAGGGATATTCACAGCAGCACCCTCCACAGAACATACTGACCTGCAGCTCACCATCTCCCTGCTGAGCTCAACCTGACCCACTTCCTTCCCCAAACAAACTCTATCTTCCAGAAGGGTAGAATTGTTTTTTTAAAACAATGATATAGAGGAAAAAAACCCAAACTAAACCCCCCAAAACTTCCTCCTCAGTTCCCACAATCACTGGGAGCTTTTTATGGTTTTTCTTCACCATTTAAACACAGAAACTTTGCATTTTTTATTAAAGCCATATAAATAAGATCACATAGTTGTTTTAAGAGAAAATATCATTAGTACAATTTCAAGATACCCTAACTAAAAGTAATCTGTAATATTGTTATACAGCATTAAACAAAAAATCCTTTATCAACTACTATTGCTCAATTTTTTGAGAGTGTGAAAAAGACAATTAGGAGCTAAGTGTCAATTATGCCAAAACAAGTGCTCATTAGCAGACCTCACACTGCTGATCAATGATAAGGAACAGCAGGAGCCAGACACAGGTGAGCACTAGCTAACAAGATTTCTGTGCTAACAACAAAGGACTTTCCCGAAGTATCTAAAATGGAGCAAGCAAAATGACACATTAACACACCAGCACCAGAGAGAGAGAGAGAGAGGACACCACCTCCTATAAATCTTGGATGGAGAGGTGATGGCAGACTCTTAAGATTCCCTCTTCTTCAGGGTGGTCCTTTTCCACCCAGCCCTTCTCATTCTTTTGATATCCTAATACATCTCTGCAATTGTTCTGCTGCCCCTCCCTTTACTCCCTTGGTCATTCTCTCTTGACTTTCTTTTTACTCCTCCTCAGACCCTTTGCTTTACACCTCTCCCACCATTCTGGTTCAGTTTTGGTTTTTCTTCCTGCCTCCCCTTTCCTCCCCACCAGAAACACTGACATAGCTCCTCTTATTTCAATGCCTCTGCTCTGAGTACCCTTCCCTCATCACTGATGTGTACTCCCTCTGAGTACACATCCCTCAACACTTCTCCTGCCTCATCCTATTATTTTTTGGATTCTGCTCTTTGTTTTTTGGTCTTCCCATCGGCTGCACGTGAGTCATGCTACCAGTACTGCTTTACATACATTGATGACACAAACCTCTTAATTTCCTGTCAATAAAGTGTCATGTTATGTTTTTAGTTGACATTTATTTTATTTGCTGGGAATCAATCAGGAAAGATACTTAGCAGGAGCAGTTAACACCAATGATGAAAAAAGGAAACTCATTAACAGTTGCTAGGATCAGAGAAATCTTTATTAATTATCTAAAAAGAAAAGAATTCTTGAGGAACACAATGTTTAAATTTTTTTAAAAAAATAAAAATCTCTTTTCTCCATGAAATCATACCTGCTTCTTTCAAATAAGAACTTGGTATCACATTAAAAATTAATTCAATTGGATATCCCCCCCCAGCTCAGCAGACAACAAATAACTATCCCGATGACACTACGAGTCTGTTGAGACAAAGCAGGAGCAGCTGATGGAGCATACAAGTGCCAGGTTGATTTGCAAACATCTCTCCCTCCCCCGCAGGCCTACAGGAGGCATCCGTGTGCCGCAGGAGCCCGGACCGGGAGCATCCCCGGGCAGGGCAGCCCCAGCCATGCCCTGCCCTCCCTTCTCCTGCATCTCAGCGCTACTGCTGTGTTCTGTATGGCTCCGAACGGAGGGACACGCTGCAAATCAGGGCTGCCTGCTGCTACGCTCAAACTAAAACCAGGCGGCACTTCCTTGGGATCTCCTGAAATCCTCAGTCTTACCTGGTTAAAAACCCCTACACTAATAAATGCTCTCAAGTGTAACAGCACTCGAGAATGAAACTTGTGCAATGGCAGTCTCTGAAGGAGAGTAAGCATTTTCCAGATCTACAGGAGTAACTCCAGCAGTCTCACTGTCAGCATCAGGTTGCTGTGTGCTGTTCCATGCTAGGAAAGACATCAGAGGCAGCTTGTTAAGACTCCTAGAACATGAGAATATTCCTTTCCCCTGAAGAGAAACTCACTAATGCATGTGGTTTGTTTGGGTTTTTTTCCTGAAAACAAACATGTCACGCTCTGCATCAATCAGCAACAAAAAAAAGAATAATTTACCAGATATTAAAATGCTAAATGCATTTGTTGTGTGGTGCCATGGATTGTCTTTCCAGGGGAAATTTCTACCTGTCTTATTGCTGAATAGATGGAGAACTCTTTGGTTCATCTGAACTGTGCACAACAATATTTCAGCCTTACTTGCTAGAGCTCTAGTGAATATGTTTAACTGCATGGGAAAGGGTTAAATAAACTCTGTATCTATAAGATCCTAAAAAGTTTTGAATGGAAGGATTCTGCAAAGACGGTGTTATGAATCAAGTGCTTCTCTTTCCCTCACTTCTCTGCCTGTGCTAGACAGCTCCCTTAAATCTCCTCAAGGAATCAGGCAGTGACATATTAAAATTCAACTTTTAGCAAGGCTGAACTTGGACAACACCAAAGGCAGTAAGTGCAGCAAGGAGTAAAAAGAGGGATGTTTTTTTCCCAGCTTATTCAATTGTCGGTCTTTCAGTGATCTCCACTGCTTTCTTAGGAAACTGATGAGCTTGAAACTGTACCTCAACCCCCTCAGGTTCCTCAGTGAACCTCCTGCCGCTGGAGGGAAAGGCTTCCCATGGCCACTCATGAAGCTGGTCACTAGCACGGGAGTTTACTGCGCCAGGAAGTTCCCAGCTCGTGCTCACAGCATGGCACTGATGGGACAGGAACACAGGACAAACTGCAGAGAGGAGGGAGGGAACATGGAGAGAAAAGAACCACAGTGCAAGTAGAGGCTATCAAAGAGAGGCGTGCAATAAACCATGGTCCAGCAGCAGCCAGTACACAGCTGAGGCTCCAAGCCAAATTTGGCAGCTGATAAACTTTGCCAGCAGCCTTGGGCAAGTAGGTTTTGCTCCTTTTCCCTTCTAAAAACATGGCACTTTTGCAGCTTCCTTCTGCTCTCTCCACTCTGGTATCAGTTAGTTTGATAGCTATAGGTGATAAGGCAGGCACAGGGACTGGATGGCATGCAGACAGCCAGAAGGTTCACTTGCAGCTGGTCATGGTGACAGAAACCCTGTTACTGAGTTTCTAAACATATTCAAGCCTCTTTATGTGCATTGCGACCCCTCTAAAAGAGCAGGAAGAAAAGGAGATTTGGATCTTAGCTTGTGTGGGAATTTTAAGGGATCACTCTTACTAAGAGTGGAAAGAGATGTACAAAAAGGGTAGGGCAAAATATTCAAAGGAAAATAAAACTGTGACTGGGTCTTGATATCACCAGGTCTACACAAAGCAGCTTGAATTTTAGAAGGAGGGGTTATTCTAGTCCTCAGCCAATTCTGTGAACTTTCTTACTGCTTTAGCACACGCTTTGGCCATTGCATATGCTCTTGGCTAATTGGTAAAATGACAGACATCAGGCTGTTAAGACAGGAATGGAGTCTCTCCTCTATGCTTCTTACTAAAGGAGTTTTTTTATTGTCTCAAACCTCACATCACTGATGCTGTTAATTCAAATAATTACCAATTATTGGCTAATTGGTTAATTCCAATAAAACCAAAAGTTTTCAGAAGAGTTTATAATTTGTCCAGCAGCCACAAGAGCCAGGACAGAGCCCCATCAGGCATGCCAGGGATGTGACAAGTTTACTCTTCCTTTAGGCTGATTGAGAATTGACATTCTTATAAGAGAAAACTGGATAAAAAATGGAAAAAGAGCAGAAAGTTGAAAGAAAAGAAGAAAAAAAAAAAGGAGCGATGAAAGGAAGAGGTTGACCTGGCTCAATACTTCACTGAATTGTAAAGCAGTCAGATAGAAGAGGCAAAGTGATGAGGAGATACTAACAATGGAAAATAGTTAAATGGTATCTGGAAGGAAGATAAAATAATGATGAAGATGGAAAAGAATTGCCACTATCTCATAGTTTCTAAAAATACATCTCTGCACTAGAAAACACAGAGAAGAAAAGACAGGAATTTATGTAAATAACCTAGATAGTGGAACCAAGTCAAAAGAAGAATACCCAGGTTCTCCAGAAATGTTTACAAAGATGGGCCAATCAGCAAGTCGGCTTAAGGTACAGAAGAAATAATCTACTTTGAATATTTGAAGAGACAAATGGCAGAAATGCCCATGTAGAATTCCAGCCAAGTGAAAATTATACTGAAACAAAGTAAAAAGTACAAAGACACAGAAAGATCTTGTAATTTACTGCTGATGATAAAAATGGGCACACACAGAAGAAACAATCAAAGAGATACAAGAATAAATGGTCTCTACCACAAAACTCTGAATTAGAGAAGAAAAACAAATGCAGGGGAAGAATCTGCTAGGTCTGTTTCACGACTCGAGCGCTGTTGAGTTTTCTGAATTTGGCTCTTGGTTACACTATGTATCCTTCAGTCAGACATTTCTCCCTCGTGTCACCTCACTTTCTGAAAAAATTCTATGCTCAGCTGTAATACTAAGACTCACAGTGAGCAATGTTGAAGCCTGGGGAACCCAATTTTCTCTTCTTTATTCCTCTAGTGGCCACCTTTCTCAGATCTGCACACCATCCCTGCTGTGGTAGCAGCAGCAAAGGAGAGCCTGGAGAGATCAGTCCATGCTTTGATGTGCTGCCCACAAGTGCCCTTGCTACAGCACCGGTGCCAAACTGAACCTATCACACCTCCAAAGCTGCAAACCATACACAGACTTGCTTGAAGTTTCATCTTCTACACCCTCCTACGCTCCTCACATTGCTCATATTTGGACTTAACTCTCTAAGTACTGGACTGCAAGAAGAGTTCAAATCAAAGTCTTGCGCCGTTCACCAGAAAAAAAAAAAATCTGAATTTAGTGTTTTCTTTAGTCTTATATCCCAAGTAATATTTTAATCTCCCTAAATATTGAATGATTTGTTTGTATGGGATGATTACTATTTACATCAATCTTATGTTGGGCTTTAGGGGAGAAGATGCTTTCCCTACCCAATGTAATTTGTTAGAAGTGATTTAGAAGAATTACTTGTGTATATAAGGAGCTGCATTAGTTTATATGAACTGCAGATCCCTGAGAAGGCAGTACTGGGCTCTTAGGATTGTTTACTTTAAACCTTACCCTAGCATCTAAATTCTAGATTTACTAAGTGATACCCAGAACTCCTCTGTTCTCTCCTTGCCTTGGCAGATGTATTCAAATGTGTAAGTACCGTTTTATAAGTACAGGTTTACAAAGTAACAGGTAACAATTGAATTAAACTGTTATGAAGGCTAAGACTTGAGAAAGTAGATGAATTCTGCAAAACTGAATTCTAGAAACCTTACAGGGAATGAGTGCAGTAATAGGTAAAATGAATTAAACAAAAATTTTGGAGATTATTGTGACAGGATGAAGTGTAGAAGAATAATTTCTCAATTATTTAATAAATTACTTCTTGAAATATCTGGTCCTAGTGCTCAAACTGCGACATACTAAATAATTTCCATTATTTTTCCTTAAAACACATACCCAAGAGATTCTTACTATACTGTATTGCTAGGCAGGAAATTCCAGCACAGCCCTGGATATAATGTAATATTAGATAACTATCAATTTGTTAATTACTTTTTGTGAACAAAAATATAGGATACAGCATATTCTTAAAAGGGTAGTCACAAAAAGAATGTAACCAGATCCTGACCACAGCATAAGCCTTCTTTCTCCTTTAGCTTTAGTGAAGTTTGGTAAATTCACACCAGGCATAGATTTGATATGGCATGTTTTCAGGGCTCATTTGCATTCTCCCCAGTGAATTCCCCATACTACAAAGAACCTTGTGCACTGCTTGCTTTGCACACAGAATAATGAAGATGCCATGTGATCTGCTAGCAAGAGAGCTGTGAGGAAAATTGAGTAATTATTACTGACTACATTTTGAACAATCTTTGCATAAGCAAGAAGGCCTTATTTTGAAAACATTTATCTATTGTCCAAGCCATACATTACAGTTTAATTTGACAGAGGGAAAAAAACCCAAAGAATAGGAAATTCTCCATTTAAAAAATGGAGAATGTCTTGCAAGACAAAATATAAATATCACAGTGAAAATATTTCATCTAGAAATAGAAAAAGAGTAGTTAGTTCTTGAAGACAGACACATCCCTTTCTTTGAGGATTTTTGAGATTTAAACACACACAATGGAGTAATGAAGACAATCACTGTGGAAAAAAGAACTGTTATCTTGTGAAATCAGTATCAACTTCCATGTAGCATTCACCACACCTAAGAACACAAACCCCCTGTTTTCTTAAGTGTCCATCTGAGCCTCACACATGTCACTCCCACTACAGATGTGCATCTTACACTTATTTTTTTGGCTCAGCCTCCTCCTGCTCATCTCAAATATCCAAGCCCTCTAGGTTCACTAAGTGCTTCAAACAGAGCAAGACAGAAAAGTAAAGAGCACCTTGGCACATACTCAGTCACTGGTCTGGCAGGGCCCATCCTACTTAAGTGTTTGTGTAAACAAACAAACAAACAAACAAAGATGTAAAATCTCATGATTTTACCATATGAAACCAAGCAACTCTGTGGCAGGAGTGAGGAGCTGCACAGGCCAGGAATTAGTGCTGACCAGCTCTGTGCCATCACCATCGTTTTGTGAGCAGAGCACAGGAAAAGCTAAGCCATACGGATACCAGCCTTTTCATGCTACTAGTCTTCAGGGCCACAAAATGCCCTCCATAATTTTACTAATACAGATGTAGCCTTGAAAGTCAGCTCTCTGAGTGCTCAAGAAGATATGGCTGACATCCAAATCAGAGAAGCCTGGAGCTTTTCATACAGAAACAGGAACTCTGTAAGAGCCTGCCAACTGAAGAAACAGATGTTTTCTGTGTTACAGAACTTAGAAATCCTCAATAGCTACTCCCCACTGAATCAAACAAAACAGACAACAAAAAATAAACCCAAACCAAAATCCAAAACAATCTGGGGGCAGTGATAGTTTAACATAGAACCATAAACCCTAAAAACATAGTTCTTTTTGGCTGGCATTTAAGCACTCAAGCAGATAGATGTGTATTAATGCCCTCAAAGGAAAAACCATGAGACCTGGCCAAAACTGAGCTCTGATGGGGTTTCACAAGTTCCTCTCAGACTCACAGATAAAGACAGATGTTCTGCCAGTAGCAAGACAAACCACAAGGAAAAGGCTAATGTGTCCTAATGAAAGAAGATTTGGAAATGAAAGACAATAATTTAAAAGAAATCACAAAAATATGGACAAGATTGCCTGTGGCAACACAGGACACCCACTCTGCCTATGTTTGACTTTAATTCTGGTTGAAGCACAAAATTACTGTACTACTAAATTCAATAGAAAATGGGGAGCCAGGTAAATCCTGACAGGACTGTAGAAAGAGGAGATCATTATGAAGATGTGATGACTAAAGTAGTCATGCCAAGCTGGAAGGAAATTGGAAAAATGACATTCCCATAAAACTAGAAAATTTAGTTCTTAGTGCTGGGACTTCACAACAGCCACTGAGGGACTGTAAACTTTACATGAGGAAAATACACTGTGAAGAAACTTGCTCAAGGATGGAGGAGCAAGTATTTGAAGTACCCATCAGCAGCTCATGAAGAAAACTGGCTGCACATGGTGGCTGAATAACAGAGATTCAGTTCAAAAGAAAAGTCATTTAACATGTCCAACTTTGGAATATATAGTAATGTTTAAGAGCACTGAAGTTAGAACCTGGAAGTCATGCAAAGATGGATTGCTGCAAAGAGTATACTTACTAGAAAGAGTTCATTTGTGGGAATCATTGTGTAGGGCATGAGGGATGAGAGGTATTTAGGTGTGGTGTTTGCATCTTTGGGGAAAAGCTGAAGGTTACCATGACAAGTAAAGTAAAAAGTAAAGTAAAGTAAATCAGATGGAGCTCCAGAGACAGCAAGACTGATTGCATCATATTCATGCTTTTGAGAAATAATTGCTTCTTCTGACCTTTACTTTTCCAAGAAATTTTGGTCACGTGCAGAGTATTTAAGAGTGATTACTGCATGAAGATTTGGGATATTGAAAAAAATCTGGAACCCAAATAAATCACTGAGCTTCAGAAACGTCTCATCTTGTGTATGCATTAGACCCATCAGCACATTAACACTTACAGTGTTCATCAACTTTGTTTTCCTGAGCATCATTCTTCCTGTATAATTTGTTTCACCATTCCTTATGAAAGTTCTTGAAATTCTCAGGTGCTTATCTTTCCTCTTTTACCCTTCAGTTGTGGACCCATATTTTATAAAGATGCAACCCATTGTCTTCACCTGACAAACTTTCAACTCAGGTTTGCACCTACACACATGGCATGTTCTCAGTACACTGACAGCAGAATTGATTGCAATGTCCAGATTGAAAACAAGCAAAACAAACCCAAAGAGATTCAAAGCACAGCACTGTGTCGTTTTGGTTCCTGAGCTGCAGATTCCTCAGCATAAACAGAACAGCAGGATGTAAAATTATAAGTGAGCTCAAGGGAAAACGTGGCTTAATGTAGGATGTTGATTTTTCTAAAATGAAAAGGAAAAATGAGACTATATCACTTCACTGAGCTTTAACATTATGAAACTGTCTAAATTCACCCTTTTGTTCTCTTTCACCTTATATTAGTCTTTTCTTCTTCAAATCTAAGGAAATGAGGAGGTGATAGGTTACCTTGCACTAACTAAAAGTTCATTTAGATATCTACCAGTGTGTTAACTCACAAAATTTATGTCTACTTCAGTACTATAATGTCACTACTTTGCTTCCCTGAAACATGAATAGGTATGTCCTGTTCTTGCCTCCAGAAGTGCTAATTTGCACAGTAGGGGACTGGTGAAATTGTTGCAAGGTAAAAGGAGTCCGAAAGCTGGCTTTCAAAAAGCCCTTAGAAAGAAAAGAAAAAAGAAAGGAAAGGAAAGACAAAATTATTGTGGGAATAAGGAAAACATAAAGGGTAAAAACATGAAAGGAGAAAATGAAGAGAGATATTAGAAATAATTTTTTCCCTGTCCTTTCTTAAATATATATATATATATATAAACTCAATAGCAATGAAACAGAGTGAAATAGCACTGTCAGAAAGAAAAATGCAGAAGGTAAGCACCACTATTGACCATGTCACTGAAGTCTGTAAAACTGAAAATGATACAGAATATGTCACACTGGATTGTATACCAGTCTCCATTGGCCTTTAATTTGCAGAATAAATTTGTGGAATGAAGGAATAATGGCAACAAAATTAGAGTTAGGAGGGAACTTCAGCAAAATTTAAGCAGGATTGGAAAAAGAGAAGGGGAGGGGGGAAGAGAAAGTGGTATGTTATAAAAGCACAAGAACTTGATAAAAACTCAGCCAAATCAGAATGCTCTTTAGAACAGTAGTGGTTAAACACCTCAGAAATAATCTGGTATAGGAAGGTTCTTCTAATCCCAAATCAAGCAGATCATTTTAATACAAAAAATATGAGGCATATATCCCTTTCAAAACATTCTCTTTCTTAAGGGTTAATGGTTTTCAGACTTCTCATTTTCTTATCAGCTACATAGATGTTTCAGATGATGTGTGAATTGAAGCCTACATAACCTGAAAATTCCTAAAGATGCCACTGCCAAACCAGTTTTCCCAGCTACTGCTTTCCAGCTCTCAGGAGAGAACCACAGTTTCCCACCAAAACAGTGCCTCTAAAACAGAGTTTAGGAGAGACACTTGTTGCAATTATGATATCATATTATGTGTATTGCTGAACAATTTTACATCTGAAAACACCTACATGGATACTTTAATTTTTCCAGTTTTATACGGCAAAGGAAAAGTAGAAAGAATTAACATTTTCTGTGAAATTTCAATCATTTGTGCAAAAGTTTAACAGTTGAGTATATATATAGTATAATCAGGAAGAGTATTTCCAATTGCATTAACAGCACCACAAACCCCTCATGAGCACCTGGTTCTCTCTGAAGGGCCTCATGATGTCCAACACGTGAAACTAAGACACAGAGCAGATGTGTGATTTTCCTATGAACAGGCAGGCAGTCAACAGCCAGATCTAGGAGCAAAACTTGGTGCACACCAAGCCTCCACACAGGCAGGTTATTACAGGGAGGCAAATCTGGTGCCACACATCAGCAAGTAAGCTTTCAAGAGAAGTATGCCAACATATGCTGGGTTATGAGATAACTGAAATGTGTTGCTATTTTGATCAGCTCATCACTGTTTCTTGCCCCTGAAATATGTCTTATTTGCTACTGCACCACACTCTGAGCAATCACCTCCAGGAGTGTTCTCTGATGTCCATCAGGCCCAGGGCTTCTTTTCTAACTCCTGCAACTATGACCTTCATGACTGAACAGATCTGGAACCTTTCCTGTGAAAAGACAAAGGGGTAGGTAACAGCTACAAATAGTCCTCGAATGTCCTACATGGTATTTAGCCCAATGGGATTTAAGAAGATAACCAGAGCTATGGTATGATGCTACATATATCTAGCAACAAAAGTCTCCTCCTGTTCCCTATGTCTTTTTGCCTAGAAGGAACTTCTTTATTGTTTTTTATTTTTTTAAGGGTTAGGAAAGAACTTTGTTTTGAATTTTCCCTGATAGGAAGTTTACTTATAAATTATGTTCCCCTCAGAAAGGCTCTTTTTTCACAGGCTGTTGGTAAATTGTTTACTACTCTGGTTGCAAAAGCAAATATAACTTAAAAAAAACTCTTTCAAGATGCGCTCCCAGCTGTGCAGATGTGCATTTTTGTTCTTCCATCCTATCCCCACGTTCAAAGTCCAGGTTCTCTAACCTTCAAAACATTCGTTGCTACATGCTACACTTGTGCAGTCATGGGGACATTGCTTGAAATTAGTAAAATCACACCAAAGCAAACACAGTGTTAAGTCAAAGGGGCACTCTCATTTCCCCCAGATCAGTGCACTTATGGATGATAAGCCTTAGCAATTTGTCTCCTCAATGGACCATGTTTCTTAACCAAGTTTGACTCAATGCTCAAGCTGGATGGCTTGACACAGATCTCTAAAATATCCCCTTACAAATACCTGAAAGAGAAAAAATCTCTTTAAAGTTCAATGAAAACACAGATCATTTGTCATTGGAAAAGATCTTTCAAGAAATTTGTTGGTTTAATCACCTGATGCCAACAAGTAATTAATCAACACAAGAAAGCATTCATCTGGAACTTGGGCATCTGTCAGCAAAAACACTGTGGGCATGTTCTTGGCACCTGTCTTGATGTACAAACTGGCAAGATCTACCTGTAAGGAAAGGAGGCAATCACTCATATTCTGTTAAAACGTTGGTACAGACAAAGTGTGAAATACATGTTTGTGGTGGCAACACATTGCTGTCTTCTCCTTACGTTTTTCAGCTTATTTACATATCACTAATTTGTTGTATAACATCCAAAGAGAAATGCAGTTTGCCTTTCTTTTTTCCTGTATCAGACACTGAAGTTTTGACAAGACCTAGTGGTAAAGATTGAAGAAATCTCTCCATGAATGTACTTTGAAGCTATGAAAGCTCCCATCAAGAACAACCTCTACTGTACCAAAAATTGTGTGGGAATGGCATTGAAGAGTCAGATCCATTATAAATTCAGAAATTTCTGAAAGACCTTTTTTTATATATTTTGTTGTTGTTGTTGTTGGCGGTGAATTAATTTAGGAAAGCTTTCTTAGCTGCAAAAAAACCCCAACAAAACAGAGGTGTGTACTTTGCCCTGAAGAGACATGGTGTGGGAACATGTGGTATAAACATGGAATGCTTTTTGGCTTGTCTTTCCAGAAAGAAAACAACCCACATGGGTTGCATTTGAGTGTGACCACATTTGAAATACAGAATAAGGTCAATGCTGGCTGTTTTGACCAAGCTGTCACAAAATCTAGCAAAGCAAATTCTCAGGCTTGTTAACAGAGGCTTAGAAACTTTCCTGCTTGGAAACAGCAGGGAGGAAATGACCACCTAAGTCCACATCTTACACTGCACCTCGTTTGACCAGGGAAGGAGGGCACAAGAAGTTAGACACCAAGAACACACTGAAGAACACGCTGCATTTTTTAAAGCAGAACAGCATCCACCTCCCTCTGAAAACCAGAGACTGACAAAGCCTTGAGCTACACACGCTGTGGTAGTTTGGCCACGGACCAAGGTAACAGAAGGGCTTTTTGGGGACTGGAATCCACCAAATTTGGCCACAATCAGATCCTTATTCAGGCACATCTGAGATTCAGAAATAGTGCTTGTCCATATAGAAGGAAGACGAAAATGTTCCCTCTTCAGTTTTCAAAAATAGAGGTACAGCTGGAAACCACAGGAACCATAGGAGTTAGTGTAAATTCCAGTTTTGCCTGTGATTTTATCAAGCTTGTGCAACAACAAAACACATTCTTGAAGTCACGAACTCAACAGACTCAAATAATATCTATTAGTTTACCCTGAGGCCTTGGTTTCTTCTGTGTAATTTGGAAAACCTCCAGGGAGCAGATGCATCCTGCCAGTTCAGACAAGCTCTGTTTACCACCTACTCCAATCAGAAGTTCATAACCCCTACAAGTTTATAGGATAGGACTGATTCAGCACCTGATGACGAAACATCAATAAAGGAAAAGTAACATAAAGTAGCTTCAACAGCCATCAAGTTTCTCAATTCCTTTTTATTGCACAAAGCCTGCTTCCCACTCCCCCCATTCTTTTTTTTTTGTCTTTTTTTGACATAATGTTCTCCTGGCATCTAAAGGTGAATTATCTTCACCTCAGAATTTGCTATTGCTTGCAATATTTGAGCAAGTGGAAAGAAACATTCTTTTCCTTTATCAAATACTGAAGGTTACCAGTGACCAGAGCTGTCTGGTTACACATTCTTTACATTGAATTGCTCCAAAGCACCCCACCAAGGTTCTGATGGGCCTGACTGAACTCAGAACAGAGACCTGGAGAACTTGAAGGGAGCTTGACTGGGCTGTAGCACACGAGAATTTCACATCTGGCAGTTTGCCCCACAAAGGCTAAAGGACAATGAATCACTTAATGACAAATTTGCATCAAACTTTAATTGACTCTTGCAATATCTCTCCCAGACTAATTAAAGCATATTGTTATGTCTTGATCATAGGACTTATCCTCATTAGAAAAATGAAAATTAGGAAAATTACATGAGATCTAATAATTGCTAAAATTTTGAAACGTAAGTTGAGGTAACTCCTCCCACAGAAACCTATGTTTGACACATTGAAATGAATCTCTTGTAGTTTATATTCTAGTAATTTATATGAGCATCTAAAGATTATTTTCAAAATTTTGTTTTTTAAAATCAGATGCAGATTCTAAGGGATGAAAAACCAGAGCTTAGAGACAGCAGGTTGGACGTTTTGCTTAATTTTTCCTACATGTATCAATGAAATACCCTCTTCATTCTCTTTATGTCTCATTCCACTGGAAAAAAAAAAATTAAAAAAAAACTTGAAAAAATATGGATGGGAACCTTCTTAAATAAAGGTATAATGTGCCTAATCTGGTTGCATCTAATAAAGTGCTAAAAACCTGTCCAACCAAAACATTACTGAGAGCCAATTCTCTTTGACTTCACTGTAGAACTTTGTCAGCCTTATTCATGATTTCACAATGGATCCATGAAAAAAATCCCATAAAAGGTGCAGAAAAAACTTACGGGGTTTAATTTCACAACCCCTTTTCCAGGACTGCCAAACTGTAAGCCTAAGACACCCCACCACTTTGTTTGCCAAACTGAGATACCACTCTCAGTCACCTCAGAGAGATGATAATAGCTTACCAGCATTTTCAAGCAAAAGTAGCGATACCTGAGAAGCCTTCTGTCTGCAGGTCTGATGATTATCACATCAACCTCTAAATCAGCCTAACAAAAAAATCTACAGTCCCTATGAAAGGTCCACATGATTATCTTTGAAATTTAAGAGTTTCTTTAATCCTTTTGGAGTGAAACTCCTACAATAGATTACTTTGTCAAGAGTGCCTTTTCTCATACAGTTCCTGTCTGATTATGTGTAAAGTGAAAAATGATGACACTGAAATCCCAGTACAACCCACTGAGAAGAAAAGTTTGTGTGTTAAACCATCTGACATTGCAAATAATACAAACAGCTTCAACAAAGCTAATCTCTGCCAGCAGGGGCCTCTGTCTCTTTCTGGAAATCACTGATAGTACACATGACCAGAGTGATGGTATCTGTTGAAGAAAGGTTACAAATAATGATAAGGAGCAACAATGAAGTCTGTGACTCACTTACTCAGCAAAACCTTCATCTTCTGAAAACTGGCTGATTTTCTTCTGGCTAGGAAAACAAAGCAAATGTAGTAAATCAGATTTTAGAAACAGAAGCTGAGATTTGAAGCCACGATGGTACTAAAATACTGCCTGACATGAAAAATACAAATTACATTAAACTGAGGTGAGGGAAGCACACATGAAAAAAATGGTATGGATAAATAAAATAGATCTGTGATAACACTTAGAAGTCTTGGCTAGTTTAGATATTAAAAAGTACAAGTCTAGGCAGCAAAGCAACTCCAGGTCTGCCATGCAGCCACATTATTTACTATTTGCTTAAGGTATTGTCCTTTCTTTGAACTAATTGAATTTTAAAAGCATTTTCACTTTCTTGGAAACAAAAGACAAAGATTGCTTTCCTTATAAGGGCCTGATACATCATTAACTAATTAAAAGAGAAGATAAAACTATCTACAACATTACAGATTATGTCTCCAGTCTCAGAAAATAAGTGCTGTTAATTTCTGTGGAGCGCAAAAAAACCTGGTGAATGTCTGTTCAAAGAAACAAAATGGAGGTTATTTTTAACACAGAGCCACAATCTGCTCTTCCACAAGGACACCAACAAAGCCTATGTACCAGCTCTATTGCTGCCTGGTGCCCTGCATAAACCTTCCATTAGGAGTGTTATGAGTTTGCACAGCAGCAACTCCTGAACAGCAAAAAGCAAAGACTTCATGCAAGCATAGTTAGCATCAGAATGGATTATATGTTCCCTTTATAGGTATTTCAGTTATACCCACTGCATGGAACCCTCAGACAAGACTGGGTTCACTGAAGCAGGCATGTCACTGTAGGATCCCTAGGAGCTCCTCAAGTAGCTCCCCACGGCTTCATAGAATTCCAATAAATAAGAGTTGTCACCACTCAGTTTTTAACTTGCTAGCACTAGGTAGAATACTCTCCAGCCACCAACATACCTTAAAATACTTTTCCATAGTGTCCATCACCATTTTATAACAGAAATTACAATCTTTGCTTTCCACTGTCCACAATCTTTGTTTCCACAATCTTTGCACTTTCC